CCCCCATCCTCCCCACTTTCCTGCTCCCCATGGCCTGCTGTCTCTCAGCTCCCCCAAACTCCAAAAGACTTCTCTACCCCGGATGCCCACTGCCCACCCCCACCTGCAAATGGTTGCTATCCTCCAGCTTGAAGCTCATGGCCAGCTACCCTCCTTTCCTTAAACCTTCCTCCCCTGGCCCTGGGGGACAGTCAGCCTTCTCCCCCAGAGTCCCCAAGGCCCTGCTTCCAGTGAAATGCTTAATGTCACTGCAAAGAGGGATGAGCAGAGGCTGAGCACCTGGGTGATGTGGGCAGAGCAGAGCCTCTGAGCCGGCCAGCACCAAGCTGTGGGGGCCGGGTAGCTGCCGGGATATTCGCATGGAGCATGGGCTTTAGGGGTCTGCAAGTCAAGGGCAGTGAGAGGTCCCGCAGGATTCATGGCAGTCGTTAGAGGCTGGTCTTGTTTAATGCAGATTCTTTTCTTGCCCCTTGCGGGAGAGCTGGGTCTCAAGCACAGGCCATTTCTGCTCCCCTTCAGGGATGGATTGTCAGGAGCTGTGCCCCCTCCCACCCAGTTGCTTGCCTCTCTGTGCTTGGGTGCTGGTTACTTTTAGCTCTCCCTTCCTGGGCAGGGCACAACCCTGACCAAGGTGGGGCAGCCTGGCCAGGCCCGGACACAGTGTCAGCAGTATTCTGTCCCCCGAGGCAGCTTTGAACTGAACTGGGTCCGGGGTCTGGCTCTTTTTCCAGGAACAACAGCTTGCTGGCCTTGTCAGCCCTGTGAAAGCCCTGGGACCCAGCGAAGTGGGAGCCCATAGCTTCTGACACGCCTCTGGAAGTTGAGCTGGGTCCTGCCAGGTGGATGTGGTTGGTGGTGGGAGGAAGGATGAGAAGGACAAATCCTGGAGAGAATTAGCTTTCAGGCCCCCAGTTACCTACTCTACTACCCCAGCACCTACTCTGCACTAGGCACCAGTCTGTGCACTGGGATGGAGCTACGTATAACTAGACTGACAGGGCACTGATGTTCTAGAGTGTTCTAGGAGACTGAGAGCAGCCAAGTAGCAAAGGAATAAATAGATGAAGGAACAAGACAATTCTGTAGTGATGTGTGTGATGGAAGACAGTGAAACTGGATGGAGACTGACTGGCAGGCTTCTTTGGCCAGGTTGGTCCGGGAAGCCCTCTCGGAGGAGGTGACATTTGAGCTGAGACCTGAATGAGGCGGTGGAATGAACCTTGGACTGTCTGAGGAACAGTGTCGTAGGCGTGGAACAGCAACTGTGGGGGTCCCGCGTGGGGAGGATTTAGGCATCTTGAGGAACAGATAGAAGGAGGCCATGCACATGAGCAGCAAGGAGATGTGGCTAGAGGGCTGGGCGAGGGACCAGGAGAGAGCAGAGTGGTGGTGTGTGCCCGCGTAGCATCACTTTCCCAACCTAAGGGCCCAGGACACCATGGCTGTTCCGATGTTCCCTCCTCCCTCTGTTCCTCTCTGTCCAGGTCTGTCTTTGCCACCCACCTTGGGTAAGACCTGTATTGTTTGAGTTGGTGGTTCCCCATGAGGGGTTTGCAGGGGTGGAGGCAGAGGGTGGGAGGGGAGAATCCTCTCCTGACTGCTGCTGACAAACATACCAGGGCAGAGGGGACCCGAGTACGGGTGATGGGAGATGTCCCTGGTGCCGGAGAGAATCCTGCCGATAGGATCTTTGCCAGGGGGTGAGACAGCTAGATGACAGCCTGTCCAGGTAGGGCTGTCCCTGAAGTCCTGATAAGATCCTATCTGGCATGGGGCGGGGAGGCCCAGCCAGGCAGGCAGCCGCTCCTACTCAGCCATTGGCTGCCACCAGCAGCAAGCAGCGTCTGTTCTGGAGCCAAAGCCTCCAGGCAGAATCCAGGTGTGGGGAGGGAGGGCTTAGAGCTGGCTGCCCTAGGTGGGCAGGGGGCGCCCTGTCCCGCAGTTCGGCTGGGCACCAGGGAGTCTCCCTGCCCCTGCCCCCCAGGACACCTTCCCTTCCTGGGGAGACCTGGGGAAAGGGGCCTTGGAGTCTGGCTCTCTCTGGACAGGAGCCTTTGGTGGCCCGGCTCAGGGTGGGTCCTGTCTCTGGTTGAGTGGCCATGTTGATGCCAAGCTGGGAAGGGGGAATGGGGAGGCCCTGCTCCCCTCCTGCAGGACTGAGGGGGCTGCTGGATACTCTGCTTAGCTTTTCTGGATGTTGAGAGTGGAGCTTCCAGGCCTGAGACCTCAGGCCTTAAATGAGTGAGGCATTCTTCCCAGCTGCAGGTGGGCTTGTGAGAGGCAGAGCAGGTGGTACCGCTCACCAGTGATGGGGAAAGTGGCCTCAGCCTTGTTCCTGGCCTTCCCAGCAACAGCGCTTCACTCCTTGATGCCCCCGTGGACCTGCACAGGCCCTGCGGGCACCCTCTCTCCAGCTTCACGCAGTGCAGTCCCTCAGGGGGTTGTGTGTGTGCTGGGTTCTGATCCCACTGCCTGTCAAATTTGTGGGTCCACCTGTTGGCCTTTCCCCCCTCCCCTTTGCTGTACCACCATGGGTCCTGGGGTGGGTCTTGGTCTTGCAAACTCCACTAGGGACTGAGTGTGGCCAGGTGAGCTGCCAAGCCCTTTGCCACCCAGGCTTCCTGTGGAATTTTGCTCTTTTGCTGGTTCATTTCTGCGGGGCTGACTCTAGGGCTTGGGGAATGGGCCTGTGCTTGGACAGACACGGCAGTGGTGCTCCTGAGAGCATGGCATCACAGTCACCTGGGCAGGTAGCCGGTTGGTGGAGCCCTGACAAGAGGCCTGCGCCAGGCAGGTGGAAGGTTTGGTTGTGGCAGTTTCACAGCCTTCGAAATAAAAATAGCCTTAGTTTTTAAGGCAGAGGCTCTAGGTCCCAAGTGGGCAGACAGGTGCCCATGGATTTATTTCCACTTTTAAAGTAGGTGGATTTATTCTCATTTTTTTACTGATGGGGAAACTGAGGCAGAGAAGCAAAGTGGATGCCCAGAGCTGCCAGGCCACTAGATTCACATTCCTGACTGTGCCACTCCCTAGACGGCCTTGAGTGGATTCAGAGGCCTTGTGGCCAGTGGCCAGCCTGCTGTCATCTTGGAGAGGAATTTTAGGGAGCTGGTCCTGATCGTGGGGGCAAGGCAGCCCCACGGGCAGGCAGTAGCAGAGGAGTTGGGAAAACTTACCAGTCCCTGCTGGCCAGAGCCCAGGTGTGGCAGGGCTGTTTGGGATCAGTGCTGGGGAGGGGACCCTAGGCGAGCAGAGCCCTTGGGTGTCCCATCTGGGAGGGTCTTGGGCCCCAGAAGGCTGGGATAGAGGGAGTGGGCAGAGAGGCAGCTGAGGGTGTGCGGAGGAGGCTGTCAGGTGCAAATAGGCTAGGGGAGCAATCCCCTCTCTGCCCCTCCCCTTGTTTGTGTGTGCCCACTGGGGTAGGCCCATCTGTTCCTTGTTAGGGACTCCACAGACAGTCCTCCCAGAGAGTAATTAATGCCGCGTTGCTGGCAGATCCAGCAGCACGCCAGCCCCAGGGCTTCATTCTGGTAGCACAGATGCCCAGCTGACCCCAGAAATGCTGCTCCGTTCCCACCTAACAATCCTGGAGACACAGTGTGTGGGGAGGTGGCGGTGGGGGAGGCCTGGTGCCGGCCAGGCCCTGCTGCTGTGTCTGGGTGGCAGAGAGGGTTTCGGTGCTGGTAGGCAGCCAGAGATGGCCACAGGACCTTCTCACCACCCTGGGCCTGCCTTCATCCATCGCCTGCTCTGAAACTTCTCATTCATTGTTGGCTGCGCCCTAGACTTGCGGTGTGACCTTAGCCATGCTGCTTATCCTTTCTGGGGAATTTTCTTTTCCCCATCCGTAGAATGGGTGTGTTGGGCTGCGTCATTACTGAGACACCCCTGCCTCCCCTTGTCTGAGTCCCAGCTATGTGTTTATCTGCCTGCTTCTGAGCGGCCCTGCTGGAATCCCCGTTCCCTGCCACCCCCCCCCCCCACCACTCCGTATTGACTTCCCCTTGGTGCTCCTCCTGGCTCTCTGGCTGTGTGCTCAGCCCCAGAGGCAGTCCCCAGAGCCAGATGACTGCCGGTTCTCTCTGTAATTAACCCCTGCCCGTGCCCAGAATGAGGGGCGCTGCATTCCCTGTGCCCTGCGCAGACCAGCTGGTTTTCCTAGCACAGGGCCGGGCGGAGGTGACTGCCTCCACAGTGGCCACCTCCAGCCGGCCCAGCACATTCCTCAGGCTTATCTGGGGGCCCGCCCCTCCGGACTCTGCCCTCCCACCCAGGAAGCAGCACCCAGCGGAGCTGCTGAAGAGTTCCAGGGGCCGGGAGGAGAGCCTGAGTGGGCTTGATTCGCAGCCTGCCTGGGGCTGGAGAGAACCAGGTATAGAGTGGGGTGGGGCAGAGGGACTGCGGGGAGGGGGTCTGCTGAGCCTGACCAAGCAAATTGTCCTGAAGGAACCCCAGGGAGTGTGGGGTTCACTTGATCCCAGACTCTGTGCCATCTCCTGGGAACCCCTGCCTCCCCTCTCTTGGAAGGCTCTCCTGTGAGGTTCCTGAGCATAGGAGGGGGCCAGGCCCTGGGTCCCTCAACCGAAGTCCACTCCAGAGTTGTAACGGGAGATGGGACGGGACTGCAGCTCCCAGGCCACCTCCCTCTGTCCCCAGCTCCACAGCGGGAGCCAGCGCCAGTCCTCCCAGGAAGGGGTTAACCGCCAGTCCCAGCCGTGAGGGAGGGGACTGGGCTGGACCATTTTCCTCGCTGCTTGCCTCCACCTCGGTTTTCCTGAATGGTTCTGCCGTCCCGGGGTGGGGAGGGAAGGGAAGGAAGGAGGGCGGGTGGAGGGAGGGAGGGAGGAGTGTGGGAAGAGGAAGGAAAAAAGAGCGAGACAGCCAGGGGAAGAGAAAGATGTCACTGTCTAATCTCCCTGTCATTTTCATTTCCAGCAGGCGCCGGGCAGAGGAGCTGCTAGAACAATGCTGAGGCGGGCGAGGTGAGGAGCGGCCGGCGCGGCCCCCTCGACGGAGCGTCGGGAACAGGTGATCGGAGGAGCCGGAACCCCCGGCCACCTGGGCAAGCCCTCCCCGCGCCCGCCCGGCGCCCCGGAGCCCCAGGTCGGGGGGGCAGCCATGGCGACCAATTTCAACGACATCGTCAAGCAAGGCTACGTGAAGATGAAGAGCAGGAAGCTGGGGGTGAGCCGCGGGGCGGGGGGCCTGGCCGGAGTCCGGGGGGCGGGCTGGGGGGACCGGGGGTGCCGGCGGGGCCGGCGTCGCGCACTTGTGGTCTCGAGGCTTCTGGCCGGCGGCCGCCCGCATGTGCCGCCCGCGCCCCCGCCCCAGCCGGCCTGGCCGGCGTCCCAGCAGCCGGGTCAGCGGTGGCCGCCGACGGGCAGGCGGCTCCCCGGCCATTGTTGAAGTTGCGGCTCGGCCCGTGGCGGCGGGAGCGGCGGGCGCTGCGGTGCCGCGTCGGAGCCCGAGACCCACCTCTTACTTCCCCTGGCCGCCCGCGGGCCGCCGCCGCCGCCGCCTCGCTTCCCCGCCTCTCCCCTCCCCTCTCCTGGCCTCTTTTCTTTTAAGTCCCTCGTCTCCCCCAGCTGCCCGGGGCTTTCTGTGTGCGGTCCCTTGTGCATTTATCTTAGTTATTGCTTTCACTGTTAAAAAGAAGTGTTTGGAGCGGAGAGTGGTCGGCGGTGGGGCAGGGCAGGGGTAGGAGGGCGCAGAGGTTCGGAAGCTGGTATTTATGTGGTTTATGAATGGGAACTGAGGGCAGGATGGCCTGTGGCTCTGGGACAGGCTGCTTTTCTCCGAGTTGTTGGCGGTGACTCCTTGCTCGCTCGCGGGGTGCTTGGCCCGGAGCTGGGGGCTCAGAGGGTCTGTGGGGATGGAGGCCTCAGACACACCTTACCGTGATCCCGGTGTGGATGGCCTCCCCACTCCTCCCCAGAGGGCCTGAGGAGGGCCTCCTGGGCCCAACATAATGATCTTGGTGAGGTGGTCCTAGAGCTGCCTCTATTCCCCTGCTGACCCTCCCCCACCTCCAAGGAGCGGTCCTGGTAGCCGCACCCTCCCCAGTAGGAAGGTAACCTCTTGAAAGCGGTGGCCCAAGTCTGCGTTTCTTCCCGGTCTCCGGTCTCTTTCTTCCTCCCCTCCCCCATTGCCCCGGTGGGGGTGGGGTGCGATCAGACTGCTCAAGGCTTCCTGGCTCAGCCTGAGTGGGGTGGGGGAGGAATAGGGCTCTGATAGGGCTTCCCTGCCTGGATTGCAGACTGAACAGGACTA